CAGCGAATCCTCCGCTGGGCTCTCCTCACCCAGCCCTATAACCTGATTGCAGACTCCTTATCCCGAGCTCCAGTGGAAATGCAGCAGCTACTCTCCAGACGCACCAGGTGATCACCTCCTTCGCGCCCGCGCTACGGAGGTCTTTGGAGGGGTGTTACGAACCCTCCACCCAGCACTACGAAGCACGCCATCTATTGTCCTGATCTACCTACCCAGCACCACGAGCAACGCCATCTAGGGACGAGACACGAGTATGACTCGTCTTAGTTACCACCCGAGGTTTCCTTCTCCCTATCCTGGTTGTTGCGTCACCTCCAATTCGAGGAGAGAGCACTTGGCTCTGGGAAGTGACCACAGGATCATCTATCCTCTAAACCTACGTACGTGCAGTGACTACCTACCGTCTTCTACAATACTCAGCCTTACTCGTCAGCCATCTCAGCTCCTCACTTAAGTACTAGTATCTCTTGTATTAATTTCCCCACGTCCACTTGCTTCGAGATTGTTTTATGTTTATTAATATGTATATACTGTTAATGTTTAGGTTAAGTTTGGTTAAGGGTAATTTATAAGCTGAATATTTTGTTAAGGATTTATGGTACTTTATATACAACGAAAACTCGCATCCTTTGTCTACCCTTTTATAGTCCGATTGTCTTTGTTTTTTATTGTTGTTACCTGTTGGGATCTGGGTAGACGTATAACTATATTCTAAATCCCCAACTCGTAACAATAGCCATCTGTTACTGCCGTGTCTTTCCATATACCTGTTTATTTCATTGTAATAGGTCTGGATTAATTTAACTTCTTCTGGTAGTCTGTTGTTGGGTAATGTTCTAAAGTGTGAAGTAGGAGTGTGTTTGGTTATAGATGTTTTTATTGCTGAGTGCAGTCTGTCCATTTCTGAGTCTATATCTTCTGTTGTTTTCCCTTGTAGGTTAATCGAGTGGTGATTACTTAAGTCGTCTTTGAAGCTGTCCCAGTCTGTTTTACTCATTTTCAGTCTCTTTTTTATTGGTATCTGTATGGGGCTTGTTGACAGTGTTAGTATAATTGGCAGATGGTCACTGCCTGTATTATATGGTAATTGAAAAAGGCTTTGTTGTTGGTAAAAATTTTGTCTGGTGTCGATTGTGTATTGTGATTTCTCCAGGTTGGAAAGTTAGGACCCAGATGATTGATTTTCCCTAAATTTATTAATTGATTAAGGGCGTTTCCACGACGTTATTATTTGTATTGTCAAAAATCCTATGTCTGGCGTTAAAGTCTCCTAAGATGTACATCGGATGACTATTGTTAGCCAATTTTAATAGGTCTTCTATAGGTAAGTAGTAGCAATAATTACGTCTCCTTGAGTTGTATTTATTTTTATTGCTAGAAATTCATCCTGGAAGTCATCAATTAGTTTAAATTTTAAGTTTCTTTTAACCGCTATCGCTACTCCGTCATTTTTCTCGCCCGATTTATTTCTTTGGTTTACATAATAGTTAAAGAGTTTTATGTTGTTGTTTTCTGTCTCACCGTGACTGTTTATTAGTATAATGTCAGGGTCAATTTCGCGATATATATTACTTAGGTTAATTCTCTCGGTCTTCCAGTTTCTTACGTTGTGTTGTATTATTCTTAAAGTTCTTACTGTTTGTCTATTGTCCATTATTTCTTATACTTGGATTGTGGCAGTTGGAGTGGAGACCTATCATCCTGTTTCCCGCTTCTGACTCTTCTATACTCTGACGGGTCTACTATTTTAAAGTCTTTGGCCGTAATCTTTAGTTTGTCCGTAGTAATTAGTGACCAGACATAATCTTCACTTAGGGATTTTTCTTGATATGTCCACTTGTATATCCCTCCTTCACAGTTTTTTACTATTGTCCCTCCTGTTGGTCTCGATGTTGGGATTCCATGTTTTGTTGTAGTGATAACTTTTAATCCAATTTCTTCAGCAGATTCAGGTTGTATATTGTGATCAGTTTCCATCTTATCTTCTCTCCTCCTCCTTTGTCTGTCCTTTTGTTATTTCTATCTTCTCTTTGTCACTTCTAGTCATTTGTCTGGGATCTCTATCAGTCGCTTGTGTTCCTTGTGTAGCTGTTGCTCCTTGCTCAAACCTTTGTTCGTCTTGATGTAGTCTTTCTCTCAGTTCGCTTGCATATGTTGTCTGAAATAGTTTTTCGGATTGTGGATTCTCTGGAAATATCATCTCTGGTAGGTTATTCAATTTAAACATTTTCCTTAATTCCTCATTGTATGATCCGGGTGCAATGATATTGTGCAAATGCATGGATCATACTAATCATTACCTTATCATGTATTGGCTCACTTAGGTTTAATACTGTGGATTCTGGTCTATGAGCCTCTTGGACCGCTCTCTTTGCTATTTCGACGTATGTCGTATCCTTCTTGTCTTGTTCCTTTTCCTTGTTTCTTGTACTTTATCATGTGTTTTTTATTGGGCATGCCATTGCTAACGTCCTATGTCCTATGTATACATTCCCGTTTCTCTTACAGTTGAGACAGCCAACATGTGTATTCTTACATTCAGTGTAGGTATGGTCGTCGCCTGCACAATCTGAGCAGTACTTTTTTTCTTTTTCCGGACAGTCTCTCGTTGTGTGTTCTTCATATTTGTAGCAGGAGAAGCAAGTTTGCAGACTGATGAATGTCTCCTTCTTTATTTGATGTGGTGTGACTGACATGTTGAATATTAGAAAGCCCTGTTGTAAAACTTTCTCAGCCATTGACACTTCTTCAAACATGAGTATAGTCCTTTATCTTAATGACTTCTTCAATCTTCATCCACCTATTTTGGCGTTCCAGTTCTTCTTTCAGGTCTTCCTCCCGATCTCTTGATCGACTTGACGAACAAAAACTGATCTTTTTGCTTTTTGTTCTGGTGGCATGACAACAATAAGGCCTTCATTGTAAAATATATCTCTTGCTTCTTTTGAAAGGATTTTATCTGAATCAAAGTCATCTTTACAGATTACTTTAAAACCTTCATTGGTGCTGAATATTCTAGTTAGTGGGACTTGCAGTTTGTTGTAAGTGATTTCTGCCACTTTTCCCCTTCCAATAGAGTGTCCCTTATCCTCTATGTTTTATTCTAATGCTAGTTGTCATCTTCTTGATTACATCTAATCCTACCTATAACACAGGGCTCCTGCCTGGGGCAGTGACCCCCCCCCCTCTTGGACGGGCGTCGGGCTCTGCACCCAGGTTACCTGTGACTATAGTAATATCTAAAAAGTTGCCACCTACCGGTGACCCCCGGACAAGGGGTGCCCTGCACTATCACAGGTTCCTTGCCGGATCGACCGTATCGCGAAGTCCGCCTCCCGTTCAAAGAACGGGTGCATGAGGGGATGAAAAAGGAAGAAGAGGACTTAGAGAGTAGAAACAGCCTACCTACCACGCCACGTTCGGTCAGCCAATCAGAGCACCGCAGTAAACGTGCATGTATCACGCCACCGTGGGGCACCACTGATTGGCCAATCCAGGACGTAGACGCACGGGTAGTAGTCAAAATTTGGGTAGGCCAAATATTTGTTTTTTCCAAAGTTGGAATTTCGTACAATCTGTGATGGTAATTACACCGTCACTATGTTGAGTAAGTACAATCACTAGGATTGAGTGTCTTATCACAACAAAGTTGCAGACTCAAACATGCAGCAAAGAATCAGGTCTTCGCAGCTCCGTGTCTATTTTTACTTAGGCTAGCATACCTAAGTTAAAAGCAAACTCCCTTGCCAATACAAGAAGGAAGAGGATTTCTTATAGTCTAATAAACAATTCATCATGACCAAATACAGTATCTAACACAGGGGTCGGGGCGCAGCCTGTTAACAACCATTTGATTGCATTATCTCTGAGAATAGTTAGCAATTATCCATTTGATTGCATTATCCCAGGTTAAGGGGTGTGTGTGGTTCCATATCACCAGATTTATTAAAAACTCTCACGTCAGGCTAAACAGTTTAGGCTAGATAGTGGTGGCTGCTTGGATTATTTCTTTGTCTCTTATTGACTTCGGTGGCTAACCTCTATAAAATTGAGGACACCAATAGACTTGTAAGGTTAGGTTAAACAGACACTTTTGTTGTAATGGAGGATTTCGCCATCGGGGAGCGTGACGAAACCTCCGGCGAAAGTAGTGGTTAGGTTAGGCGGCCCGGTAGTGGTTGGTTAGTTGCCTGTATTATTATTATTATATAAAATTTAAGGTCCCCCGTTAGACTTTACCACGGTCAGGCTAAACAGTTTAGGCTGCTTGGATTATTTCCTTGTCTCTTATTGACTTCGGGTGGCTAACCTCTATAAAATTGAGGACACCAATA